AAGAACGTCACGATCTGTTCTCATTGAATCAAGGATTATGAATCATATACTTCGTGAGTAACATTCATGAAAAAAATGAAGGAAATACGTAATAAATGACATTCTGAATTTGATGAAACTACATAGGCAAATTGGATATGATAAATAAATTTGTATCCACTCATTCTTCTCTTATTTAAAAAAGACGAAGCTAACAATCAATATGATTTTATGTAAAATAATAAGTTACAAAACAAAGCAAAATTTTCTCATAAAATCTTTCAAATTTTATAACATAGAATATTTTTTTTTTAAACTGTACCTTAATAAATCGTCCTATATATATATAATCCTTTTCATATATAATGTAATCTTTTTTTATAAAAAAAAAGAAAATTATAAACACAACGGTTTTAAAAACTTTATAAAATTTATATCTGTTTAAAGTTAAAAATAAACATAATAAAAGAACTTCGATAAGTTATCATGTAACATGATTATTATTTCCAATTCGTGTAAATTAAAATTATAGATAATACGTTTATAAATCAATAATGAAATATAGTTCTGTGACATATACAGTCTAATGATGTAATATGTAATATGACGAGCTTTTGATATTTTATATAGATATTGTTTTCATTGCAGTTTTATCGATCTCGTATATGGCATCAATTCGACGGTTCACTCGCCATCTTTTGGCTTGCCACAGGATGCGTTCTCCACGTCATTATTCGATGCGCTACGTCGACAACCCCACCAGAACTGACCAGCACACAGTCTCTCTCTCTCTCCTCAATTCTGTCCTTAATATTACCGCTGTCAGAACGTTCCCACCCAGTGTCAGCGAAACATTCACATCCGTGTAGATCGTGACGAAGAATCGAAAGTTAGTATTCTGCGCAAATTGTAAGTGAAGCTATAAACAATATAACATAAATGTAGATTAAAATAAATCATAATCTCTCTAATTAGCTGGTGCGTGAAAACTATTATTGCAGCTAATATAACATTCTTTAAAAAAATATGTTGAGAGACTAATATATTATATATTTTATAAAAATATAAAAGTATTATCAGTTTGCATTGAAGTGATATGTGAGACTTCCATCGTGTAGCTAGTTCAACTAATTGTTCAAGGCATTGCTCGTCAAGTGATTGCAGTATATTAATCATACTACAATTGTTTGACCTCAATAATCTTGGATTGTTAAATTTTAAATATGATTCAATTGTAATCAGTAAAGAAAAATACAGATTAATTTAATAGTGTAATCAGTACCTTATAGACGCGATCCTGTTGATATTGTGAATTTAATTAATATTTAACAAATTATTCATTTTCCTACAGGCAATTCCACATAAAGTTTAAAAAGCTTGATACCAAAAATTTCGTGATTTTGGGAACTTTAGGAAATTTATAGACAGTATATTTGTCTTATAAGACATAATTAAAGACATGATTAAAGTTTGCTAAATTATTTAATTATTATCATTTCACGAACAATTAAAATCGATACTGAAAACTTTTTGCACATATTGAATTATTTTTCTTAAAAACATATATCTGTGCTTGTGTTCTCTTCTTCTCTAAGCAAAAAGACGTTATTAAGTTCGCATGAATCATTGTGAGAACTAAAGATTGAATAAGAAACGAAAGCCACTTCCGCCGTCGTTGGCAATTATATTAATGGGTTACATATATATATGTATGTATCGCGAACTTTAAACTTTTCCTGTTAGAGTTATGTAGTTCGTTAATTATTAATATTTCGTGTTGTGAAACCAGTCATCAATAATGACCCGAACAATCGGTATCGATTTCGTGCTTCTTGCATTAGATCTATTTCCTGCCATCGTATTGCTTCGCGAAAACGATGGCTTGGCAAAGATTATACATATACCTCCAAGGACATAAGTTCTTGAAGGTAAAAATCAATAGTTATTGCGATCAATTAACAAAACGAAAGAACAAGTAAATAAAATTCAAGTTGAAATAATTTCATTAATTTAACATGATTATTATTGTTGTAACAATTTAATTTATTACACGGGATCATTATTCAATACCAAGAATAAGAGAAGTATGAACAATATTAATATTCACGGCTCGATAATTCGAATAATTAGGAACTATTTCGCGGCGGTGTTTCGCATTTGAAGACCACGTGAGAATTAAGAGTACCGGTACCGGTCTGTTCCGCGTTGTGTCATGCAATTCCGGGTTTCATCCGCCAGCAAGAATACCGAATCGTTTAATGCTTTCGCGGTCGGCAGACACAAACGCGTATTCGCCCCCACCAACAAATTCCTTTCCTCTTCTCTCTCTGCCGTGCTCGACGAAAGAGGCTCTCGGTGACGAGAACGCTGGTTGCGAGCCGTTAGTTAGTCGGCCACCAGAACCGATACCGTTCTCCAGGAAAGCACATCGTTGTCGAAAGAGGTATAAAGCAAGCCACACCCCGAGTGTCACTTCGCTGATCCAATCGATATGATCTTGCCGTATTCTACAAATCGTGTCCTCCTCTTCATAAATCATGCGAAGTGATACAACAGATTCTCAATAATCATCTAGCAACAGGCAAATGTATACAGGGTCTTACTCGATGAGATCATCGTCGCAAACGTGAAACGTATCTGAAATGAGTCAAGGACATAAGCACCGTGTCATCAAATCGCGTGTTTGCACGCATTATTCGTGATAGATGGGAATAGTGTAGATGAGAATTATCATCGCAGATCGTCACTTTTAACTTAATAACAATTATGAGTTTTATATTAAAGGCGCGCCACAATTATAAGAATATAACGTAAAGGATTTTAGTTAAACCATAAAAAAAAAATCGTCTGCATTTTCTAGAGTTTTTAGATTAATTATATATTAGCATTATAATAAATAATGATTAATAATCTAGTATTTAAAAATTAGATCTGAGATTGAAAAGAGAAAATTATTAAAATCATTCATATAATGTATAAAAATAAAATAACCAAATATTTGCCTTCTAAAATAGTACTGATAATATCGAAGATTTTTTAACAATCCTAAGTTCTTAATTTTTTTATTTAAATAAAATATGTATAAAAAATGCTTTCAGATAATCAGCAAGATGGCAGCTAGTCAGTATTATCACATACAGGTAATTCATAGTTAATATCTCATAACTTCGCAATAAAAGTCTCGCAATAATGACTGAACAAGATGAATCATCTCATTTTATGCTGTTTTAGTTTCTTATCCATCTATTATAAGAATTGTTTATTATAAATATACAATTCTTATAATTTTTGCAGCTTGTTTCTAAACTCAGAAAGACAAAGGATGACATTTAATTGAATTGCTAACAATATGAAAAATTGCTATTATCTGATAAAAAAAATCAAGTTTAAATCTTAATAAGAATAAAAAAATCATATAGATAACATTAACATATCTAACTCTAATTAATTTTAATATAATTAATAAACTTGATGCATGTTCAATTTTATTCATTGAGGTGTGTTGATAATTGTTTCAAACAAGATAATAGAATGATACAAAATTAAATACGTTTTCTAGTGCACACCCACCGTGTATCCGGCTGATCCTTTCGATGCCGAAGCAGATGCCAGTCTATTACGATCTGCAATGAAGGGTTTCGGGACTGATGAGCAGGCCATATTGGACGTCTTGGCTCATCGCGGTATCGTACAGCGACTAGAAATTGCCGACAAATTTAAGACAATGTACGGCAAGGATCTCATTTCCGAGTTGAAGTCAGAGTTGTCCGGAAACTTTGAGAAAGCCATCTTGGCTCTAATGACGCCTCTTCCCGAGTATTACGCCAAGGAGTTGCATGATGCTATTTCCGGCATGGGCACCGACGAGGGTGCACTCATCGAAGTCCTTGCATCCCTGAGCAACTACGGTATCAAGACTATATCGGCTGTTTACAAGGACCGTAAGTTTCAACGCAGCATATTTTGCGGAATCGATTTTGCCTCCTATAAGTCAACACCGCCTTATTCTGTATAGAACAGGAATTTCATTTAAAAAAGAATATTTTTCACTTTCTATACTGAAAAAGATTTATTAAATCTTGATACATATTTCTTTAAATGTTACTAACAACAAGTCATTTATTTACAATAAATAAATATTTACTAAAAAAAAATCAAATGGGTTTTTAATCAAATAAATATATGTTTACATTTAGTAAATATTTACTCAGAACTATTCAAACAGATATTTATTAAAATTTAGTTTTTTTCCAGTGTAGTTCTGCTCGATTCTAAATCATACACAGTTTATGAATTATGAATATATTTTCAATTTATATTCCTAGTGTACGACAAAGAGCTGGAAGACGATCTCAAAAGCGATACCTCCGGTTATTTCAAGAGGCTTTTAGTATCGTTGTCTTGCGTGAGTAACAATTGAAAATTGATGTATAATTTTTCGCAACTGTTCTGTCAGTTTTTCTCTATTCTCTAATTAACGATCAGGCCAGTAGAGACGAGAGTCCAGACGTCGACGAGGAGGCCGCACGTCAGGATGCCGAGAGGCTTCAAGCCGCGGGTGAGGGACAATGGGGCACCGACGAAAGCACTTTCAACGCAATTCTCATTACTAAGAGTTTTCCACAATTGCGACGGATCTTTAAAGAATACGAGCACCTCACCGGAGACACCTTGAAGCATGCTATCAAGCGAGAATTCTCTGGTTCTGTCGAAGATGGCTACTTAGCTGTGGGTAAGAAATTAAATACAATAATTTACTTATTATTTATTTAGCAAGTTATTCGTTACTATTAATCTATTTATTCTTTTTTTTTCATATATGTATATGTATATTTTTTTCATTGTTCTAAAATGGTCTTCTTTCAGTGAAATGCGCCTCCGATAAAACTGCTTATTTCGCGGAAAGATTGTACAAAGCTATGCGCGGAATGGGCACGAACGATTCGACATTGATACGCATCATTGTGACACGATCAGAGATTGATCTGGGCGACATTAAGGATGCCTATGAGAGACTTTACGGAAAATCTCTTGCGGAAGCTATCGACGTAAGTATAACACGTTAATTTCTTAAACAATTTTACGCTATTTATTGCATCCATTACGTTTGCTCTCTTTATTGTATTTTATTTCTGTAGCAGTAAAATTAATAAGAGATAAAGAAACGCAATAATATAATATATTGCAATGCAAACAAAAATACAAAAAATAATATTAATAATAGAAATACATTTAAACAAAATATTTTTAATGAAAAATTCTTCAGTAAATACAAAGTTATAATTTTGTTCCTTGATTTACATAGATTTGATCGAAATCCAATTTAATTCCAGCGCTTCAATTCTACGCTTTCATTCACTTAATACAACAATGCTTTATCTCCAATCGAAATGTTAAATTACACATTCACATAATTCCTTCACATCTGCATACTTATATGCATCAGCAATCACTAAACTACAATAAAATAATCAACTATATACAATATAATATATAATATAATTAATCTATTAACTCACATATACACTATATCTCTTAGCATTCCGTAAAACTTTCCATAAATTTCAGGACGACTGTTCAGGCGACTACAAGAGACTTTTGCTTGCCCTTGTCGGATGAAAATATTTCAATCTTGCAACAGACCCTTTGTTGAAAATTATACTTCAATGTCGCGGAGATTATATAGCGCTTCATTGTATTCTGCAAAGATTTTGATTAATTTAATTTCTTACGTTTTGTTGGCTGTTAATGGTGAATATGGTTTTACTCGAGTTATAGATGTTTTGCACTTGATCGGAGTGATGCTACAATACGTGTGTAAAAAATGAATTACAAAATAATATAGAAATGAATTACAAAATAATATAGAAAATCTGTACATCAAAACTGTACACGAGTCTCTGTGAAGATTGATTGAAAATCGATTTATTGATTGTATATTAGTAAATTATAATTATTAATTTAAACGCAAATTTGTTTTTCACTGTACTAATTCTATTAATTAGTCCATGCTATTTTTGACTGCATGCATGCCTCTGTATATTATAGTTGTATGTATTATTATAAATACATGAACATCACGATTTACCTTAAAATAAAATGTTTAGCTTTAATTTTCCTACATTCTTTTTTGCATTTACAGAATGACTGCGGCGACGACTTTAAACGGCTTCTCATCGCGCTATTGAATTAATGAGTTTGAGGAGAGAATTATTTTCGTTACTAAAAAATCAGATATTTAACACAATTGTCAATAATCCAAAAGCATGTAAATGTAATGCATACATTTATCTCTAATAAACGTATATATTTGCAATTCTCAACTCGTTTTACTGATAATACGAAAAAATATCTGTTTTTTTTTTCCAGAACGATTGCACCGCCGAGTGGAAAAGATTATTGATAGCAATGTTGAATTAAAGAGTATATCTATAATATCATGCGAAATAATTATAACAAAGAAAAATATTTGAAATAATACAGTATAATAAATGTATATTTTAATATACTTAAATTATTAATATAAATAAATATAACATTAAATAAATATGTATATATATTTTTTTATTTAATATCTATACAGACCTACAAGATTACAAAAATACAATGTAATGTTATAATAAACACAGAACCAATTACACAGGTTGCCACAGAAAATAAATTTTAAAATTCCCTGACTTTTTCAGATTTTCCAGATGAAAATAGAAAATTTTCCATGAGTAATATAAAATATGTAAATTTTAACATTTAGACTCAAGGAAAGTCACTAGTTTATATTATTAAAAACAACGCAAAAAAAGCTTAATAGTACAGTATATTTGGACGCAAATTTAAGCCACAGCAAAAAATAAATCAGTTTTGGAAAAAAAGAATGCAGTTACGATGAAAAAAAGGATCAAATAAAAATATAAATAAATAAAATATAAATTTTAATTATTTTATTAAAATCGTTTAAAGTGCACAAGTTTTGAACGTATTTGACTATAAATGTCAGATATAAAAAATTATAACAATTATTTGGAATAGGAGCAGTTTCAGGGAATTATGAAATTTCGAAATTCCAGATGTTTTTTTCATTTTCCCCTGATTTTTCTCGGTTTCAAGGACTAATTCCCTGACTTCTCCCGATTTTCCAGGTCTGTCCTGAATAAAATACAAAATAAGAGATTTGTTTTATATTATATTAGATAAAAATAAAACTTAAACATTATATATCAATGCGATACAAAAATAAAAGAAGTATACATAGTGTTTTATTTTGATGCATTCTGACAAAAGAAATTCAATATAAACATCGCCCAAAATTTACATTTCTTAACATTAATCGGTATCGGTATTCGTTCTTAAATTTCCTGAATATTCGCTGGTCCACACACACACATACCACACACAGTGAATTTTAATTATTTTAAATTAACGTATTTTTGCTTAAAGTTAACATAATTGAACGATTACGTTTACTTTGAAAATTAAAATGCAAGAAATAAAAATATACAACGTAAAATTATGGAAGATGTGAAAAACATCTGTTATTAACAATTTATCATAACGTAGTTGAAGAAAATATCCAAATCTACAGCAATATCGAGCTTCTGTGTTCTTATATAGAGATTCTGTGTTCGGTATGTTTCTCATATCATAGTCACAATAGGTAGTGCATCATTTTTCACCTTTTTAAGAAACAATTTTGACAAATTGTTTTCGATATACTCCATCTTGTCATGTAGCTTAGTCTGGATACAACCCAATTTTATTTTAGTGATTGGGAGTTTCATTATTTTTCCATAAATCTCGAAGCAAACGTGAAACTTATCTTTATCAATGTTTATATCATATATATGCAAGCAAATTTCAACATCTACTTCATTTGAAATGTCCTCTCCAAAGCAAATAGGTGGCGGATTTCGAGCTAAAAATATATATTCTATTTATTGAAATACGACAACGACAATGTATATTTTAATTTGTGCAATCAGATATTACCTGAAATTGTCTCGTTAATAATTGCAAAGTTGTTGTATGTGATTGTAAGTGAAAACCCATAATCCTTTTCTAAATAACTTGCATTTACGCATACTATAATATATAGAAATATAGTATTAAAATAGAATATAATATTAAATAATTGTTATAATATGGACTACAAATAATTATGTACTTACACTTTCCATCCATAGAGACTACATCCCACTGTAATTGCTGACAGCATCCACAATTATATTCAATACATTCGCAACCATTATCGTACATTTTTATAATATATTCATCTAGAAAATAAAAATTACTTAGCCTTTATGCTATAAATTTTATAAATACTTTATAAATATTTTTATACATTTTACAAGCATCAACTAATGAGGAATTTTTGCATAATTTATAAATTTTTAATCAAACCAATTATGAAAATAAATTAAATAAGAGAAATTTTACTTTTTGCAGATCCAAAACAATTTTAATATTTAAATATTTCTATGTGAATTTATATATAATACATATCTGAATACACAAGGTTTCACGTTAAATACAGTAAAATTTGATTAAACAAATTTTAATTAATGTATAATTAAAAATATTCCAAGGTATATTACTGAAATGTATATCTATATTTAATATATATATATATACTGTGTGTTTCGTCCAATGGAAATATTGTCGGTGTTATCTCATCTTGACCTGTTGCTTTCGCGACTCCCGTACAGAATAATATTCCGATAAAAGTAATATTCATAAATTTAACGTGACGTAATCGTTCCATGTTTTTTTTAGCTTTGCTTTCTAACAATAGATCAGGCAGACGTTGAATCTTATTAGAGATACTTTTCTGTAGTTCCGAATAGCGATCTTCTACCTCTTAGATCACAAATTTTCGATTGACGAATTCCACTACTCTTCTGTTGATACTTGCTCATACTAAGAAATACCGCTCCTATAAATACTATACTTTTGTTTAAAAAAATGGAGGATGTGTTCTTTTCAACTTCTCAAACCATTCATCTTTTCTCCTTTTCTCTCCCCGTTGGAGAGAAAAGGAGATAGGATAAATATAGTGCAATAAGTACAGCTAAAAAGAACAGACCAATTGAAGCCTGCCATTGTTCATCGACCAGGGGAAATCCCGCCAAAATTGAAGTAGCTCCGTCCATAAAGTGTAACGAATATAGATCGCGCATGCATTTCAAATTGTTTTGAACATCACTATGTCCTGCTTTAAAAAGAGAAAAAAAGACCTTAATCAGACTTGAATAAATTTGGCCTTTCTTTGTATTGTAATATATCATTTATCAGATATGCAAAAGAAAAAGAAAAACACTGCTTATGCATGTAATTCGAATATGAGTTCGATTAATGGCTTTCCATCAATGTAGATTAGTTTATTTAATTTCAGTTTACTTATTATCTCTTTTTATTTTTTCTAAGCTCTATTTCTACCAATGTAAATTAAAGATCATTTATACTGACCGTAATCTGTGAGAATTGACCAATCATAATCGATGATTCCTCTCTCATTCGACTGTACTTGAATTATTTATACAGATTACGTCCATGATCCTTAACTTTAATCTACTGTTTAATTTATTGTTTATTCCTTTCTAATTCTCAAGAAGAGTAGAACATGAAAGTTAAATCCATTAAATTAAATCAAGATTAAAGTTAATTTATTGATAGAAATAGATAAAAAATTATAAAAAGTAGAAAAATAAGTTGAACCGAGATTAAAATTAATCTAGAATATCAAGAACTTGATTTTTAGTGATTGATCCATCAATTGTTACCGAAAATCTGATAATCTAAAAATTTTATAATTAAACAACTGTTCTTTGTAGGATGCATTTAAAAATTGAATACATGTATAATTAAATAAATGTTAGAGAAAAGTAAAAAAGTTTAGTAACAAATTTGCAATATGAAAGAAAAAAGTAAATTTTAATAATTCATTGTTTAAACAATATTAATATAACATAACATTTATTTGCGGAAAAAAAATATATTTGCTAATTAAAAAAATATAATTTAATTAATAATGTGATTTTTGTATCAAATAAATATACTTACATTTAGTAAATATTCGATTGACAAATAAATTAAAATGTACTAAATTTTAATAAATAAATATTTATTAAAAGTCTAATACATTTGTCTCTCTGTGTGCAGATACACAATCCGTTTTATCGTTTTACATATGAAGTTTGCGCGAGACGCGATCATATAAAGCGCTGTTATCGGCCATTTTCCGATGTTCGGATATTCAAGTTTCCAATTGAAGTCTATACTTTATAATTTATAATGCAGTTGTAATTACTTTTTTATTTTGTGTATATACATTTCTATATATCATAAATATATCACAATTATATATATTTTCCTTTAAAATAAGAGGAAATAAAGAGTAAAACGTGCTACGAGAGTAGAGAGAGAGAGAGAGAGAGAGAGTGAGAGTACAATAAAGCCGAATAGAGTGCGACAGAAAAAATCGCGGGAATCGCCGTTGTTGAAGATTGAAGCCGCGATACTGCGATCGTACTGGATCGCATGCATGACTGCATGACGCGCCGAGAACATAGACGAGATCAGATTATGAGGGATCAGAGGGCGGCGGTCGAGGAGGAATCGTCAACAGTAACGACAACATCAACGACACTGGCAGCAGCATTAGCAGCATCACGAAAGTCATGAAACGGCAGCAACAGCAGCGGCGGCAGCAGCTATCACGACGACGACTGCCATCTTGAGTGTGACGCGCAACTCAGAGGTCGTGGGCTCCACCAGTGACGAAGCCACTGGAGTTTTGACGTGGCTGCTACGTACCTGCCCGACTGCCCACTCCGATTGCAGCAAACTTGGTGACGAGAAATACGTAACTGGTAAGTGCCCCAGCTGGAGAATAATAACAATCGGACCGTGGACCAAGCGCGCGGCTTCTCGCGCACCGCGACGATCGCGCGTGCGAGACGGAGAAACGGTCGCGCGTCCACCGTTGCTTGCATTGCGTTTCGCTCTTTCTGCGTTAGCTCGTGGCCGCGCGACGCATACGCGCGTTTTACGCTCGTCTGCTACGCTTAACGTGATGCCGCGAAATATGGCGACCCGACGGCCCAGAGAGAGAGAGACCGAGACCGCGCGCATCCGCGTAAGTTCCGGACGGTCGACACGAGGTGGGTCGCGCGATTCTGCTCCCTTTGCCCTGATCCTGACATCCGTCATCTGGGGGAGGGGTATCATCGCGGGTTACGCGCGAGCATTTCCTAGGTATGTGCGGGAACGAGGGTTACCCTTGCCGTTTATCCGAGTGGCAATCCTCTTCGTCGTTTCCTGTCGAGTGGGAGAGAGATAGAAAGAAACAGTACCTCGAGCGCGTGTTTATTGTCCCCTCCCTCTTCCCTCTCAGTCTTATTTTTAGCTCCGCTTATGTAAATGACGCAGTAGCAGTCATCTCATTTGTTGGCGGGAAGTTTAAATGACTTGCGTTCCGCTAATCGAAAGCTCCACCAATTCAAAGATTTTGTTGTGTCATTTGTGTCGTTCAAATGTGTACTTGTGAATCAATGTAATTATTGTACTTTTGATGGGATATGACATTGTGTTCTTCCCTCTTGAACATATCGTAAATGTTTGTATTATATACAGTGTTTCTTATGTTGCAGAGCTCGCGAGGTAGTCGGGCTATGGAAAGTATGGTCGAGGAAAATGGATCAACCGTCGATCCGTTGTCTGTACAGGGCTCCCAGAGCGACGCAGCACCAGCAATCGCAACCTCGGTACAATCTATCGATAGAATACATCAGCAGCAAACTCATCACCTGGTAGCTTCTACCAGCATTGTGCAACTGACACTACCCTCGTCAGGAACAACACAGGTATACAGGAGGCTCTCCTGTGTATCTATGTCTGAGAATTTGTCTTTAGTTTATTCCGGAGCATATGCATACCGTTTATTTGTCCTTTTACTATTGTTATTGTTTCTCTGTAATGCAAATGCAATTTAGACATCCGGTCTTGCATAATGCTGGTTGCATCTTGGGAATGCAAAGGCCTTCCCAAGATCACTCATCCTTAGATTGTAGGACGTTGGGAGTACTTTCTGTGAATATGACATTGTCAAAGATATACATAAGTTTTGGGTTTCAAGTTCCATGAATAATAAGTTCCCACCTTTCTCATAGCACACAAACGATAATGTACATTATTCCTTTAATAGTTAATTATTACAATGGATATTGGTTGATGGTAAATACCTATTTTGTATGTATAAGGAATAATGATCACGTGTCTTACAATTTAATGATATAATTGTCTTGACTGTTCATAATATTTAACACTTCGTTTAATCTTTGCACAGGTGCAATCGGTCATACAACCCAATCAACAGTCCGTGATACAGACCGCCACAAACATACAACCCGTCGCAATCTCCAAAGGAAACGTTATTCTGGTTAGCAAACCCAACTCCGTTATACAAACTGCACAAGGCAGTTTACAGACGCTTCAAGTGAGTCATATGTATTACTTTTTATAACGCCTTTGCCTAAAGATCGTCCAGATGTCTGCATTGTTATCAATACGCGCAAATGTGTGACGCAGTTATTAATTTATCATTGAAATTTGAATACTATTTGTTAAGGTGGTGGAAACTGGTAGTGACGATAGTTTCTCAGACGAAGATTCACCCAAGAAGAGGAATATTCTAACCAGACGACCGTCTTACAGAAAGATTCTCAACGATTTAGGCGGAGGAGAAATTACAGGTAAGACATGACGTTTCTACTTAAATAATAAAGCTTGTCTCTAAATGTGATAGATATTCTATTGTGCAATAGAAATTTAGGTCGCGATATAGAGAATATTAATCGTGTAATCGCTGGTTTCCGCGATTCGAATTAATACCATTCGCGTAATTTTGTTTAACATTTCGCTGCGAATAAAATAAATGTTAAAGATAAATATTTGCACTCGCTCTTATGCCCATTTCCAACAACATAAATTAATTTTAATCTCGGTTCAATTTACTCTTCGTCTTTTTCTAATCTTTAGAACTAGAATAAGATGAAGAGTAAGTTGAATCGAGATTAAAGTTAATCTACTTTGATGAAAATGAGCATTAATCACATAAAACGTTCACGTGCATGTCAGTTCATATAAGTTAAAGATACAAAATCTATAATAATTTGCATATTTGTATCTTGAAGTTGTATAAAGAATTTGAACTGTAAGATCATCTTTATTTTAATACTACTGAAATTAATGTGAATGTCCTTTTTTCTCTTTTTAATAATATATTACCTAATTTTGTCCCTCAAATATATTAGCACAGGTACGGTATAATGAATATTTATTGCGTTGAAGCTTTCCAAGCTTTTATGGTTTCAACCGCAAATAAGTAATATAAGCTCTTTTAAGATATAATGAGTTTTAGCGCGTGATGAAATGAGACTTGTATTACATTTTTATATACAATACTATACAATAGTACTATACAATAGAGGTATATAAGAGAAGTATGCCATACCAAGCCCGTATAATACTATACAGCAATGCGACTGTAAATTAACTTTAAAAGCAGAGACATAGGAGATTATTAAAATTAGGAAGAAATTTTGGGAGAGGGTTTGCACAGATCGTTCCTTTCTGATTCCATTACCTTAATATTATAATACATTGAAAAAGAAATTTATTTGGAATAGTAAAGTTAAGTGATAAACGCAATCGCCCACCTTTGTGTATTCGAAAAAAATAATTTTTCAACGATTCGGCGAATGCACACTCACGTCCACCACGATATATTATGGAGCATACATTATTATTGTAATTATCGCTTCGACATTTATTTGATTAATCCTCATGTATACAGGATATATTAGAAGGTAAGTGCAATTGACAGCCATATTAGAAATAAATGTTGAAAAAAAATATTTAATGAAAAAAAAACATTGTATATAACAAAATTTTACGTTTCTCTTAAAAATTATTATAAATTAAAAATGGGCAAATAACCATTAATCTTTATATCTTTATCGAATTAATTTTTTGAACAAATTCTATTGCATGAAATCCACTCCTTTTTTAATACATCCTATATATTCTTATTATAATTTAACTGTGGAAGAGAAAATATGTTGTCAAATATATTAATAATCATACAATAAATCGTTTTCACAAAAACTTCATAGACTTCTATTTTATTTGTGGAACAATCAGTCATTCACGCAAAATTAATTGTTATTTTTATCTTACTTCTATCTGGAATTTAGTTATCTTTTCGTTTAACATTTAAGAGCTTATTTTCAATAAATGTTTCTCAGCTACTTTCTATTTCCTTTTTGTATGAGCTGACTGCACGCAGCGCAATGATAAATATATGTCGTATAATCAGCAGCCAGAAAGGAAATAGTTTAACAAATTGTAGTTACATGATGAAATTTCATTGTTTTTTTTTCATATTTATCTATATTACAATTTTACTTTCTGGGTGCAGATAATTGCAAATAATTTAGAATATATTTATTCAATGTTATCGATAAGGACATTGTATAAATTTGGTAAAGATAAAAAGAAAAAGCGAAAGTGATACATTGTATATAAAATGACGCGCGCACACGCACACGCACACGCGCGCGTGCACACACACACGCACACACACACACATACACACACACACATTAGCGACACCGGTTACGAGCTAATTAATGGGGATTTGGGTTGATTCGGTGTTACAGACGGTCGTTTGCCCCCCTTAGAATCATCCTCCGAGTGTGATTCTAACGTGGACAGTGAAGTGTCTTCCCATTCGCTCCATTATCAAACAGGTTGGTTACTTTATCTCCTTTTACGTATCTTTCCTGGCTGTATTACATTCCATAGGCTGTCCATATACGTAGTTCTTGTATTCTTTATACCGAGGGAGATGATGTTAGAGGAGTACTTAATGAGAAAGAAGGACAAGAAAAAAAAGAACTTGAAATCAAGGTTCATTCGCATTTACTATTTGCCTTCCATCCCTGTGTGTACTGCCTAACGTTGTATATCATTTTTCACGATACTCGCTTGGTGTGGCATTCTTGCTTATGGGATATCGATATAGACTTATCATTCGGATCATTCGACGAAAAAGAAAAAAGCGCCGAAAAACTCAAATAATTTTTTCTTGTACGAGGAACATTATATCATTATGTATCACGCATCTAAAGTCTCTTTCAACGCAAATGCATTATCATTTCTAGTGCGTTATCGATGCACGGTATTGTTATCATTAGTTGGAGGATATTTTTTTCTTTTTTTTTTTTAGAACATATTTACATTTCCAAAATTATTTGTTTTACAGTAATTCCTGCCGGTACTATTCAAATTGCGACCCAAGGGGAGGGAGTTCCGGGGCTTCACACGTTAACTATGAGCAATGCGGCGACAGCGGGTGGAGCTATAGTGCAGTATGCACAGGGCCAGGACACTCAATTTTTTGTCCCAGGTGTGCTTTTGCATCATTTCCTATCAGAGATTCTAAGAAAGTTATCAATTTTTTTTGTTTCTATTATATATTACAATATTGTATCGTGATTATACATTATTGTAGTATATATACTGTTTATATAGATATAGACGTAATAATTATTCTTCGAAGAGGCATCTGCATATATTGCATGAATCGACATATGTTAATATTATTACTATTTGTAGATTTGCAATAATATATCAATTAATAGTACAATTTGATCTATTTTCTAACTATACGTCCTTTTGATAAATACAATAATTCTTAACAAATAAAATAAAGCTAGTAAAAAATAGAGAATTATGATGCACGTAACGTAAAAATTTGGAGAGTGCAGTCTCTTGCAATGTTACAGCTTATACAGGTCACGGAGTAGTAGTGGAAGATGCGGCACGAAAGAGAGAGTTAAGGTTGCTTAAGAACAGGTGAGTGATAAGAATAGATCTATCACATGCAGATTATATCCTTACTTATATAGATATAATAGAATTTTCTTATTCTATATAAAAATGAGAAAAGATTAAATCCCTTTAATGACGAAGAATATTCTTATCTCTATTTTTAATGTGTACAGAGAGGCGGCACGTGAATGTAGAAGAAAGAAGAAAGAATATATAAAGTGCTTAGAAAATCGTGTCGCGGTGCTGGAGAATAGAAATCAGACGCTAATCGACGAACTGAAATCGTTAAAAGAATTATATCAGCAGAAAACCGACTGAGATTGGTGTTTAAAACCTGCGCGACAGTGTATCAAAACTATTATCCAGTCGATGAACCTGTACATGTCTTGTTTGTGTACATTATCCTAAATGTTGCTAGGGGTAAGCGATGGTGATGTACATGCATTCTTATAGATATTTCTCTGTAACATACTGTATTTAAGTACGAATACGAAGGCTTGTGAAACTTGCTGTTACTAAAGCGGGAAGCCAAAGTTATATGAGACATGGAGGCAGCAAACACGTAGGCAATATTTCGTATATCAGTCTCTATTTTGGATAAACACAACGCGTGATTCACTTAGAATCTGCGTACTCGAAATTTCGACCTTATAGACTGGAACAGTTAGATCGCATTAATAACATAACTGGCAAATGATATTCGTGTTTGTTTAGCATCACTGTCTAACGACCGTTTGTACTAGATGAAGGCGTGTCTTGCTTCATTATGACATGCTGCAGTTCATTTCTCTAATCTAATATATACATATAGACAAAAAATATATATATGAAAGCGTTTACGCTAACCGAAAATAGCGTAATAACCGAAATTTTCGACTATCTATATAAAAAGTTTAGTGTAAATATCTCAACAAAACGTACCGTGGCTTACAATTGTGTACAACAAATAATATTTGAAACATTTGTGATTCATAGATATCCGTTTCTCATACACACAGCTTAGAAAATATAATTTATCTAGAAAATATATATTATTTTTCAAAAAAATTTTAATTTTTCTTATGAAAGATAACATTTCGCAAGGTTGTTTTATTATTGTATATATATTAAGCGCAATCACGTTTCTATAACGATTGGGGATTAATTATCTGTATAACAGATGATGATGCAATCGTAAGAAAATTGAAACAAAAATTATTTGTTTAATGAGCGTTGTACAATACTGCGTTGCGTTTCCTATTGATATAAATAATATATTTGTTTCCTGCGTGTAAAAACCGTGCCATGGCGAGACGCGCTTCCATCTACCGTAAATAGGTCTTAATATACGATTTGTCGCAAAATGGAATCATACATGTCTAGTTTCACAAAAGAAAATTGGGAAGCAACATTGAAAATGATGTGCTTCTAATGAAGGCGCTTTAAAATTGAACGCTTTGTAAGAGTCTCTTGGCATCGACGTAGAGAAAAAAAATTATAAAAGTAGTTACACATTTGAGTGATACGAGAAAAAAAAGAAAAAAGATACCTCTCATTCTCCTAATCGCCTCTTTCGTTTGCTGTATAAACGTGCATACAGGACGTTATTACGTCGCTTTTAAAACGAGTAAAATAATCCTGTTTTACGTCTCGTCAAAATGCCCCGTTCATTAAACGCTGGACAACACAACTTGTAAAATATGAATGTAATATACATCTGGAGTGCCTTGAAGCTTTATGATACTTGTGATATACATATACATATGTTGGATACTAAAGAACGCTCAACATATGCATATGTATGTATATACGTATGAAGGAAATTATGTTGTAGGTAAATATGGGTAGATATATATATATATATAATATTTTTAAAGTATATTATTAATATAGTTTTATGTACTTGACACACGCAACTCTATCACAAGAATTGTATTATTTTTGGGGACTCGTGTCCCCACGTAATCTCATTATCGTCGAGTCGAAAACCAATTACTGACACATACTGACACTACGCAATGTATTGTGAACAATACGCGTGGTTTTACCATGAAAAGATAACGTTAAAGACCCAAATAAAGAGCATAATTTTTTTAACAAAAGTCGTTGCAGTTGATGACGTATTGTGAATTTCAGTTGGTCACACTATTGACGCAAATAATCTTGAATTTATCGTATGGCGCATTATCGCAAAAAAAAAAGATATCTACTGACACATTTTCTAATGCATACAGTGATATGAAAATTATTTATAACAAAGTAGTACGTACCCAGAAATTCGACGTTGGACGCGCATCGTTTAGAATTTCATATTTTACCAGTCCATCTCAATTATTCGTAGTTTTGTAATGCTAACGTGCATAATGAACATTGTCAATTTATGAAACATTGCTTAAAAAAAAGAACAAAAGAAAACAGAATGAAAGAACCATTAGAGATAATAAATGTGCCGTATCCTTTACATGTGCATTTCATTTGTCACTGCATTATTCAAATTTTTGATACTTGTGTTGAATATTCATTTTCACTTCGCTTACCTACTAGATTTAGGGGCCGATTATGTAATTCTTAACAGTCGTTGATGCCATTGTACAGCTTTTTTACTCTATGTAATATCTGCAATGACATCAATGACTGTCGTTAAGAGTTACAGAATCGACCCCTTAAAGTGCCTTCTTCTGTTTTCCGAGAGTAGTACAAGTGCATATTTTAATTTACTTTATGTACCTCCTTCATTAAATGTTATCTACAAGTAGGATTTATTCCATATTAAAGAAATCTGGTGCAATATCAAGTGCATTTTCTAAGTATGAGCTTTTATTGCTTCATTTGCTTCTACAATTCGATGAATTACTAGTCAACTGTTGACTTTCAATTCCATAATACATATCTTAATAAGCATCGATTTAATTCTTTTTTTTTAATTGTATGAGAAAAAGTATATTTTATTTCTTATTATACATATAAGGTTTATTCAGAAAAAAATAAACTGTACATCTTTAATATTTATACAAACACAAGGTGTATATTGATTGTAATACAGTAATATTATGTTATAAAGTATTGTGTATATGTACAAGAGTGTATCAGAGAATAATGAGACAGATTTAATTTTTAATAAAATATTTATTTAATCTTTCAATTTTCGAATATATTTCCCTTGCACTGCAATGCATTTGTCTCATTTTTTTTGCTATATTTAAAAGTAGAAGTGATTCATTAATTGTAAGGTATATATATTATTTTTGTAATTATTTTGAATTAATTTTTAATTCCATAATTAAGTCAAAACATAAGTAAAAAAGTTTTTCGAATCAAATGATCCTTGTCCATATATTGTACGTCATTACTTTGGTAATATTGGGTGGATCCATATATATTCGTTCGGTTTTTGAAGGCTAAAATGAAACAAGTTTTTTTCATACAAAGGATGAATTTTAATCAATAATATATTCTCCGTTTTTGTTGATGACCTCTTGCCATCTTTCCAACAATTTCATTATTCCGCTCTCATAGAAGGTCTGGGGCTTAGAGGCGAAAAATCGGTCGAGGTACGTTTTCACAGCTGTCTGATCAGCGAACGATTTCCCGTTGAGGGAGTTTTGCAGGGACCGGAACAAGTGATAGTCGGATGGCGCAAGGTCTGGTGAATACGGTGGGTGAGGCAAAACATCCCAGCCAAGTTGCACTAATTTTTGCTGAATGATTATTGCGGTGTGGGGTCTGGCGTTGTCATGGTGGAATATGACACCTTTGCGATTGATCAGTTCTGGACGTTTCTGTCGCAATGCTTGATTCAATTTCGTTAGCTGCGTGCAGTAGATCTTCGAAGTTTTTCTCTGAGGAAGCAGCTCAAGCTCGTAAAACAGCACACCACGATGATCCCACCATATGGATAGCAAAATCTTCTTCGGATGCAGGCCGGCCTTCGGGGTGGCATTCGGCGGCTCGCCAGCGGTTCCCCACGATCTCTTGCGCACTATGTTGTCATAGATGATCCACTTTTCGTCGCCAGTCACTATTCGTTTGAGAAACGGGTCGCTTTCGTGCCGCTTCAGAAGTGAATTGCAGATGGATATGCGGTTGGCCAGGTTCTCCTCGGTCAGCTTGTGCGGCACCCAAACATCGAGGCGGGACACGTAGCCAAGCTGTTGCAAATGCCTTTGTACGGTTCCATAACCTATTTTAAGTGTCTCCGCAATCTCTCGCACCTTTAGCGTCCGGTCTTGCTCAACCAGTGCCTTGATATCATTCGAATCAACCTCGGTGGGCCGACCGCTGCGGGGTCCATCTTCAAGACTCGTATCTCCGGAACGAAATTTGGCAAACCATTTCTGAGCGGCACGTTTTGTTAAGGCATCGTCCCCGTATACGCTGCATATCTTTCGGTGGGCCTCCGCAGCTCGCTTGCCTTTCTTGAAGTAATAAAGCAAAATGTGCCGAAAATGCACCTTATTCTCCGACATGTTCACAGGTCTATAGCACAAACAAAACTAATGCCAATGAAACCAAATTTGACAGATGAAAAGAGCGGACTGTCACCTTTCCAAAACATATTTGGATTGCCCGATTAGGCAACCAGAACCGGAGATATTCGGAA